TCCCCGACGAATGATTTCGATCGATAGGAAACCCCCACAACATGAACGCCTCCTCAACGCCCCTACATGACTTTTCCCTGTAAAAGCAAAATGAAAAAGGCCCAATAGTTAAACAAAAAGAAAAGCCGAGATTCTTTTCTATGACAAATAAAAGCCCAATTTTAGTTCCGCTAACAAATAAAACACCATCAACTTTTAAACCCAGAAAAATTGTAATGGGTAATTTTTTTTTTTTGCAGTCGTGCTGAATTACGAAGGCAAAATCCTGACCAAAAAATTGAGAGAGTACATGCATATCTCCCTACGACCAAGAAGCAGCAACGAGCAGAGCATAAAAAAAACCAAGATGAAGCCACCGGAGACCTCGCATGGCCAGAACCGTAGAACAGAATGCACCCTGACGAAAACAATTGATGTGGACAGGAAGAACCATGCCGCTTGAACAAAACCGTTCACTTTGCCGCCCGCCGCCTTGGACCACTGCAAGAGGGGAGACAACTATCTCCCTTTCATCCAGACCGTGCCACGCACACGGATGCCCCCCATTGGCCGGCAACCCATAAGTAAACAAGGCAAGGAGTTGGTCCTTCCGCATCTATTAACGGCTCCTTGCACTGCCACCAACCACCATGCACCAGGACCGCATTCCCCAACCACCCTTTGAACGGCGCCTCTAAGGAGGACCGGGACGCAAGAATGCATCCAATATCCAGTCAAAAGGTTTGAGTCACTCCCGTGTTGCTCGAGAGGGGCAACGCGAGAGCGCTAAGGGAGTCACACACTCATCTCATTATTGGTAGGTAATAAAAGTACACAACTTAATAATTTAAATATGGACATGCATGCCTATCGATTTTCGGATAAATATGACTGCAAGTATATATAGAGTTCCGGGAGCAACTAATTAACGAGCGTTTCTTCGGGAGTCTCGCAACGATCAGTGCCACTTGGCGCGCTCACAGCCATTCGCGACGTGTCAGGCTCTGGGCTGTCCCTCCGGATTTTGTTTTTTTATTTTTACGCACGCGTTTTCGGCTTTTTAAAAGGTTTTTTTTCGGGTTTTTTGACGTTTTGGTTTTTTACCGGTCTTCCCTAGCTTTTCGACCAATTTTTTTTAAAAAATAACTTTTTTGTGCAAAAAAATGCATTTTTTTTCGCGAGAGGCACGGTTTTGCTTCCGCCAGAGGCACGGTTGTGTTTTCGCGAGAGGCACGGGCGTGCCTCTTTCGGAAAGAAAAAAAATGCGTTTTCTGTATTTTTTCTTCTTTCGCGAGAGGCACGGTTTTGCTTCCGCCAGAGGCACGGTTGTGCTTTCGCGAGAGGCACGGGCGTGCCTCTTTTTAGAAAGGGGAAAAGATGCATTTTCTGTTTTTTTTTCTTTCGCGAGAGACATGGTTTTGTTTCCGCCAGAGGCACGGTTG